GACAAGTAGCACAGCCAAATCAAGCACTTGATACTTTACATAAATTGTTCCAATTTCAGTTAACCAAGTGATTTTAAGTACTAGTTCCTTACAGGTTTTAATCATCAAAATGCATACACGCAAACACACACACACACAGAACCCAACAAAAAAGCAAAAGATCAACGACAGAAAAACATATTTTGTAAAGAATGTGAGAAAGATTTTGTTTCCTTTACCAGTCACAGACACCAAGTCTTAACACATCCCTCTGTCAGAAGTGCACTGAACACTCCAGGAAGAGCAAGGAATAATACTGACATGAAAAAATTAAATGCTCGCTGTCCTTTTTCAGTGTAATTCTAGCTAAAAAAGAACAGCAATTACTTATATACAGGTGACAACCACTGGCCATCACTCAGACCATTTCATTCATGAAAAATTTATGGGGTGTTGTGCATAAAAACGTTTTTGAATTCATAATTATCAGTTTAAGGGAAAGGTGGGGTGAGAAATCTATAAAACACCCTGACCTGATGTCATGATATGTTTCATAAAGAACAGTGTTATATTTTAAAATATTTTATATGAACAGTAAAACTTGCACTGCTGCATAGCAGACAACATGAAGAACATTTAGTAAAAACATTCACTGAAACCCCTGGCATATGTATTTAATGTCACTAATCAAAATATATATTACAGCCCAAGGTTTTGTTAAGGATCTCTGTTTGGGGTTTGTACAGTATACACAATATTTCAGAAAAAAATATTACAGTAAGGTAATATTACTCCTTTTTATATTAGACTTATCTATTGTAACTTACAGTCCCTCTCCTCTATATATTCAAACCTTTATAACACCCTAATGCCCTAGCCAAAAAGTGTTTAACTATCAGTTAAGCCCTATCTATTATAAATTCCAGTTTCAGAAATTTCAGTAATTACATTTTAATAAATAGTTTAGTTTGTTCTTTTTTAATCTTGAGATCTCTCCTTTTGAGAAAGTCCTTTCATTTACCAAAACACAGTACGTAACAACCTGTTAGAGGTCAGAGAGGCTTTTGCTTGTTTATTTAAAGGATAATGAGTCCAAAGATAATTGCAATGCATTAAATATAGTTATATAATATTTACATTGTCCTCTCAGATTTTAAATTTAGGTGAAATACAATTGGTAACTAATGTCACCTACTACAAACTTGCAGTGTGGCTGGTGTTTTATTAATAAAAGGTGTATTAAGCTAGAAAGTATACTAAGTGGTTGCCCTGATTCTTGTTTCAGTATTCCATTAGAAATGAAGTGAATTATTCACATGAATAAGAATTCAGGAAAAGGGGTGATGAAAAAAAACATGGAGACTTTTCTGCATATTTTAAGATTCCAAAATACCTGAAAACTGTGGTCCCTTTTACAGTGCCAGTATCTACAGGGGAGAAAAATGCAACCAAAAGAGAAGAGGAAAACCTGTTAAATTAATTTGATTAGTAAAGGTGTGTTTTAAAATGCCTCAATTCTGTACAATATTATATACAAAGAAAGTTTCTTCTTAGCTTTTGCAGCTGTTGTACATTCTTATAGACTCTTCTGCTAACAGTCTGCCTGTGTATGTGCTGTTTGAGTTACTTGCGATCATCAATAGTCTTAATGAATTCAACTGCTGCTGTGAACTGCATCCACCAGTAAGATTCTTCTCCAGATAAACAGTTGGCATAGAAACTGCTAATGTACTGAACAGTGGACAGCAAACAAGGTGGATTTGCCTGAGGGTTAAAGAAGAAAAAAGATTGTTTGTTTGTTTGCAAAGCTAAGATACATAGTAGAAGTACAATTCTACTTCTGCAGTGATCCTCACAAATACGTACATGATTATTTAATACATCTGTAGGATAGCGACTGCTTATCCAGACCACCCCCTTTTCACAGCCTCAGAAAACATCTGACTTGGTGAAAGGAGCATTTTTCCAACAAGGAAAAACAACTGGCAGGCCAAGAGAAAGAACACAGGCATAATCTATAAAAGCCATCCCAGATTTCAACACATGGAATAGCCTGTTATTTCAGAATTTTATACATCACAGACCATCCTCCAAACCCTCATGCTTCAAAAAAAAAAACGCAAGTCCGTACTAATGTGGATCTTGGCTGTTGAAGAGGACAACATTAAGCATGCAGATAACGAGGCTGATGGACACATCAAAAAACACCCAAAACAACAACTACAAAAAAGCACCATCACTCCAACAATGCCTGGCCCCAATTTCCTTGGTTCCAACTTGCAAAGTTTGCTTGGATTCGAAAACCATAACTGCGATCACATTTCTGTTGTTTCTACTTAAACATGCTGAATTAGTTTTTTTGTTTGTTTGTTTTTAAGTTTAGCATGCTCCCAGCTACCCAAGTGAATTATTTTTCTTCCTAATGTGTGCTTGCTTATTAAAAGAATTAATTGAAGTTTGTGATCTTTGCAGAAGAACTCACCTTTATGAGAACAAAGACCAGAACAGGAACAAAATCATCTGCCCCAGGTACTGAATCTTCATTTGCCAGACTAAGCAGGTTCATGATTGTTGAACACATTCGCAGGATACACTGTACTTTGTCTCGGGGGGTTTTGTAAGCGCTTATTGTGCGGATTTCAGACTGTGCAGATGGCCACGGTGCCTCCCGGAGATATACCTAGAAAAAAGAAACACATTGCCTGCTCTCATTTGTCCAAGCTGCTAATGTGCACCGCAGAGGATCTGAGGTACCACAGACTTGCAGGCGGAAGCAAGGCTCGAGACTAACAGGAAGCGCTAGGTCAAGATGGTTGCATTACACTCAGAACTAAGGCCGCTTCCTGCTGTATTATAATGAAAAACTACAAGGAGACAATGCTGTCTGTGCAATTAACATAATTAGCCTGTACTTATTACTAACTTCTCCAGTACACTATTTTGAAAGAAGGTAGAGCTGTATGTCACTGTCGTCCATATAAGCAGCTTTATGAACACTTGCCGTTTGGAGTCACACAGCCCAAGCACTGAATTAAGAAGGCTGCAAACATTCAGCCTCTCACAGACCTCTTAAGCCTACCAACCTGCTTTTAGTTACCCTATTAACCACGAAAAAATTGAAAATGCTGTGCAAATTCCCAGATGTGTCAAGGTTCTGTTAATGATGGCTAGTTCTGAAAGCTAACTTGATAGCTGCAAACCACAGCTACAGCCTATGAATCACATCAGAAATATAAAGGGTTGAAGGCTTGTCTTTTGAAGGGAACTATCAGAAAGTTACTGCATCTTAGTATTGGTGCAGTGCAGGATATTACAGCTGGCACAGATAGAAAAACAATGTTTCTAGGTGTAAAGCAAAACAATCCTCTCATCACAAACACAATCAAAACCCAAGAACCCCAACACACAAAGCAAAGGAAAGGAGAAGTTGTTACCTCAGGTATCTGAAGTGCTTTGTGGTTTGCAGTCACTACTTTAGATAGCCTTTGTATATGTTCATGAAGGACCCTAAAAACAAACACAAAAAATAAGAGTAAGAGGTAAGCAGCAGCCAGCCAGCAGTCCCCTGAGGTTTCCCACTAGTTTCAGGTTTGGTATACTGTAAGAAAGATCTTCAGGAATGTGCATCATGGTGGGCCCAGCTAAGGGGCATTAGGTCAGTAAGTGACACACAGGATTTTGCCATACAAAGTTCAACTATGCAGCCATGAAAGCATTCAAAAAACATGCTCTAAAAACCAGCAGAACACCTAAATGTATGGAAAGTGCTGTACTAAAACAGAAAATGGAAGGAGCAAGTCCTGAAGCAGATTTTAATCATTCTCAGCAAACACACTTGCAGAGCTCAAAGTCTGTATCTCGAGTCATTATACTTAACATTTTATTTCATTCTAGCTGTTTGCTGCAAACACGAACTTTTGCACGTGATGCTAAAGTACTCCTTTGGTTTTGTACAAAATGTTCTAAAAGGAAACACAAGTGTGTATGGCATGACGGCCTTAAGACAATCAAGTTTGTCACATGAAGACTGCAGAGCTTCCTTCTGCACCAACTGCAAAAGAGAAGCCAGGTACTTCAAATTGCAGTAACTTACTGGTCACGCAGAATATCTCCATCCTGATTAGGGTAGAACGCAAGTTTGAAAATGCGATTCATCACACTGCGCTCTATAGCTAATTGCGCATCCTGAAGCTGTTCTTCACTGGCATTCTGCCATATGGCATCCTGAGCCATTGCCCCATATAAGAACTGAAGAAAATCTTCAACTTGGGCTGTTTTATCATCTGCTGCTGTAAGTTTCTGGAAATCTGATAAAAAGCAAAAAAAGTACATTCAGTTAAAGTTAAAACAAACAAACAAACAAAAAATCATTATTTCCTAGATATTTTTCTGGAAAGAAGAGCTCAGAATACATTTCAGACTTCCCACTAGGCAACACTGGGGCTCTGTTTTGCCCACACCATGGTCAGGGAAATTCAGGCAAGAACACATGAATTAAGCAAAGGAATTAAAGGAAAAGCATATAGACCATATTTAGCAAAGCATACAGTCAAAATACTTGATAATGTATCAATCACTTCCTCTGCAGTACCAATTCTTGTGCTTTCTTTCTAGCCACCCACAGAGATAACACAGAACAATCATTAGAACTAGTTGGAATGAGTGCACACAAAGTTGTCAGGGAGAGGGAAAGATAAATAAATAAAATCAAGAAAACCCATGTGTACCATTTTCTACCCCTACCTTTATTAAGTATGCATAGTTGCAACATTCACATTTATCTACAAAATACAGAACAAGTGATGCAGCCAAGTTAATGCAGCGTGACCAAATCACTGGCCGTTCATCAGCATCATATTTATAGCATTCTGGATCAGAAGACAACTGCCACTCACATCTGCCAGCAGCCTAAATGCCACAGTTGCCAATTTCTCTTTTAGATCATCCAGAAATAGCTGCCTTCTTTCTGTCCAATGAAAGGGCTTAACTCCTTTTCTGGGTCACTGAATCTTGTTACCAGAATTTAATCCCAGTAGATATAAATTCTTATACTAATACTAGCCTATTCAGACATATTTAATATGCAGCACTATCTGCTCCAGGAGCAAGAACTGACTCCAAATTTCTTATGTGCTTCATTAAGTCAGGTATGTACATATATAACAGAAATAGTTTGTTCTAGGAGGCTCTGTTTAGAGAGTTGTCTTCCTGTGCCTATATTGCTTATGCTATGACATTTTTGTATCTTTGATTCATCTGACTCAAATTACTACTATTCTCCACATCTTCTAAGATACAACCACAGGATCTGTACTGATAAATTAAGCTGCAGCATTTAGTTATCATTTCATAATTAGTCAGTCGATCTTAATTGCTTAACAGTGTTAATGCTTGGAGCAGATGCTAGATAATATGACTTAGCATAACTTAAGGCCAGGTGAGGTGAAATTACTTTCATTCTAGCCCACGAAAAACACAGGCAGTTACCACAATGTTAAATCACAGTAATCTGTATATTTGAGCCATTAATTCACTAGTTGAAATGAAGACTGTTTCAAGAATCTGCTCCTCAGATCAGAAACTGTACTTTAAAACGTTAACCCAAGACAGTGTGTAAATACAGAGTGAAGGAATATAAACAATCCAGAGTCTGTATTAATCTTACCTTGAATAAACTCCCTTATTTTCTTTTCTTTGCTCTCTAGCAGTAACCTCACGCATACTGTAGTGAAGTATCTGTTGGCCACTTCTTTATCTCGCAGAACTCTTTGCAGCAGCCTTTCCAAGTGTGCTTGTGTTGTTTGCAGACCTTGGCGACACCGAGTTAAATAAGCGATATATGGAGCTCTTTTCCTAAAAGAAGTGTTCTACATTAGATTCACAGAGAAGATAGAAAATAATAGCTTTATAAACTGTTGAGCTGTAGTGCAAGAATAATCTTCAACCTGTTGTTTTTAAAACAAAGATAACACCTGAATTAGGAAGTTCAGTCTTATTACAGACTTCTCTGCCTGAATTTACTGCCCTTGCAGCACTCCAGAACGCAAGACTAAAGCAAATTCTAAACTGCGTCACTTGTGTGTTAAGAACTGAACATTAGCCACAAACTGATTTAATTCAAGTTTATTTCTACCTGAACTGACTTAAGGTCCAAACTTTAAGCCATTCCCAGAAATAGGAGACAATTCCATCATTTTGTGGGAAAGCAGAAATATAATATCTGATTTGGTAAAGTACAATTTAAATCCAAACAGGTCTTTCCAATCTGTTAGTGAATAAGTATATGGACTCATAAAGCCACTAATAATGAGATACAGAACAAACCTATAGTCCTCTGCAATAGAGGCCAGCAGCTTTCGACAAGTCCTGTTATCAAAGCGGCTTACGCATCGCATTGTTTCTTGCAGCTGGGCCATCAAGTTCTTGTCTTGAAGGTTAATAGCTTCAGCTAGCTGAACTTTCAAGAAGCACTACTATTTCATTATCTAACAAAGAAAAAAGAAAAATTACTAAGGAAAAGTATGTAGGCATAATGAAAATGGAACAATGCTCTTGAATATGGGAGACATGCAAGCAGCAGTTTAAACCAAAACTTCTGTACATGACGCAGTGAGTGTTAAAATTAAGTATTTCTGAACTTTCCAGATATCAAGGGATAAGTTTTCATATCACTACTTTACTTACTATGTAGAATTAATTCTGAAATGTGAAGAGGACCAGACAAGAAGACAGATTGACCTGTCTGCAAATAAACCTACAACCTACAACCTGCAGTACAGGCGTCATTAGACAGCAGAAAAGAGGAGATGAATACAGTACAAAACATTTGAATGCATAAATAAAATTTACCTTCAGGGTCTGTGTGATCTGGTAGACCATTCCTTGTTGAATGTGTCAACATTGGAAAGGCAACAGAATCTGCTGAACAAAGAGCCAACCTCAATTTCTTCTTTGCATCCCTTAAAGAGGAAAAGCATTTTCTTAAAGTTGCTGCAAACACAGCTTCTTCATTAAGCAGTCTATGTTTTTTGGTTTTGCTGTTTTATTTTAAACTTATAAAATGTTATTTAACGTAATTTGAATACACCTGTGTTGTCAAGACTTTCGAGTATCAGTTCTTTTGATACACCACCTAGAGCAGCTTCAAATGAATTTTTCCAAACAATGAATTGCTCTCTTCTCTCAAATTACAATATCCCTCACTACCTCAGTGGAAATAGAACAGTCTGAGATGCTCAAAACTAAAAGCACATAGAAATTTACAATTAAAGACGACACTCATATCCACACTGATATTTGTGGGAATCTATCACATGACTTCAGCTTTTAATTCTGCATTGTGGTTAGAATTAAACTTGCAAATGTGTTTACCTATAGGAGAAAGCAGAACTTTGTGGCTGGGCTACTTGACTTGCAGAGTCTGGTAGATCATCTGCAGACATGTTTTGCAAAGCCTCATCACGTGGAGAGTCATGCACGCTCTCACCATCCCCTGTGGTCTCTATGAAAAGAAAAAGTTACATGTGAGTGAAGGAGTCCAAAGAAGAACCTAGACTAATACTCTAGAAGAAATGAAGACAGCAAGTAAAATAACTTGTTCTGAATAAGTGGAAAACCTATATTGAAAAATACACAATCTACAAGTTACTAAAAAGAAATTGCAACAGTTTTCAAAGGCAACATACTTCTTTGGTATCCATTTGTTAATAGAACATCTCTTGCCAGTTTGCTTTTTTTAAACTGCCACCTCAATGGCAACATGGAAGAGCTGCCCTTGGGAATACTAACTTAATTCTCAGACAAACTACTCTACAGGTTATATGAGAAAATGTTCTTGTTCCAGAGCTCACATTGTTCAGGTGTCAGCATTAACATTTGTCTAGAACACTGAAGTGTTTTTTATCTTTAAGGAGGAAAAACTATGTCAGTGAGGACTATAAAAGCCAGGTTCTCACCTCCACTGTCATAGTTTACTAAAGCTCCTTCACTGGGACTGGTTCGCTTAATTGCATTCCTGTATTTATCCAGAATATCTTCTGCAGCTTGCGCCTGTGCACTGAGCCTTGGGCTGGGATCATCTGAAAAGTCCAAAACAAAAGGATTTAACCTTATATTGCGACAACTGAAAGCAAAATACAAAAATTTTGACCCACACATCTGGGCTCTGCCTTTAGCCAAAACAAGTAGCTGCTTGTGTTGCATAAAACCACAATTCAAATACATTTATGGGGTCTGAAGCAAAAGCAGGAAAAAAAATAAAGTGCAATGAAAGCAAGCAAATAAAGCCAAATCCTTGGCGTATGTATACTGTATACACAAACAGTTCTTGCCTATTTGAAGACTTCTAGAAGTGACTAGGCAAATAGAAAACTCAAGACCCAGGTCCAAATTATGTTTAAATTTAGCACTTAAGAAATTATCCCAGGAATAGTGTCTGCAGCTAGCCTTACAGCTCAGCTATGATAAGGACGTGCACTTTTTAATGGAGACCAAAAAAAAAAAAAAAAAGAAAACCTGACTTGAGTCAATGTTCCAGTACTATACATATTGACAGAAGCATGACAATTTAAAATCAGTCTTCAAGGAAACAAGTCTTCATCCACTTTCTTACTCAGAAAGCCAGTTGTGAACATTAACTATAATAGCGCATTTCTTTCTGGTATTGGACACCTAATGGGCACTCTGGTATTTTAAATGGCATGTTATAAGCAAAAATTTCTATGATGATATTATTCACATACCTTGAAGCGTTGAATATCTGTCAGGCACCATGTCATCTTTGTCTTTTTCTTGTTTTTCTTTCTTTCTAAATGGAATAGGAGCTGAAAATGCAAGGTAGCTTATCAGGGACTATGCTGAAATCAAGTCCAGACTGAAGAAACTTTAAGGAAATGGCTAACGAGGAAGTTTGTCACAAAATATACATCATCAAAAGCCTTTCTGTGAGGTGGAGCTAAACTGTATTATCACCATATGCAGTAAGCTCTACCGTTAACAAAAATACTACCAAGAGCCAGGCAGAGCACCCTTTTTTTTTTTTTAAATAAAAAAAGCTTTGCCTTCCAGTACATTCTATGAAATTATTAGAAGTCATGTTGGTTTCCATTTCTATTTATTTTTAATTTGTACTTTAATTTAGCCAACAGTCATAAATCAAATATTGGTTGTAATGGCAAGAATCTTTTCTGGCAACTCCTTCCCGTTATTAAGTCCAGGGGGAAGATGTAAAGACAGTACATTGTTAAACAGAAGACCAAATAAAGCAGTATTAAAACACTGATAGTTATTTACAGTCACACATTGATGCGTTGAGGATTATGTTATGAAACAATAAAAAATTCTATGGAAGTGAGTAAAGATAAAATAAAAAGGCATCATGTACTAAAGTACCAAAACCAGACAGACATGATCCTACCTTTGGGCATGGCAGACACAAAACGTTTTCTCCACCATGGCTTGTTTCTGTCAGACTTCTCATCATCACTGTCTTTTCGCTCTTCAATCTGTAGAGGGATGGAATATGTATTTTAATATATTACCACATCACATGTAAAGACAGAATTGCTCCTCAACAGCTACAGGTTATGCTTTATCAACTGTAAAAACAGAACTACGGCAGAGTACAGAAAGCCAGAGCAGGTTGAGTTAGAAATACCCCTCCTGAGGACGACAGCTCAAGTACAATACAAATGCTGTGAAAAGAATTTATTTATTTTTAAATCAATTGCTTTCCAGGAAGCTGCAGCATTTTACATTTTAACAATATAACAGAACTATTTCTGAAGTCCTACCAAGTCAAGTAAAGCTTATCCAGTAAATTTAAGAGGAAACGTGTAGATTTAAGTCAATCTGAACGCCTGTAGTTTTAGTTTGCAAATCATATGCCAATTTTTAAAAAGTACCCACAATACATTGTAATTCCTTGGTTAAACACATTTACTAACAGCTTTCTGGCATGAGAAGCATAATTATAGTGGGCACACTAGGGAAAAAAAAAACAAAAAACAAAACAGCAACACAAAATGATAAACAGGAACCTCACCTCTCCCCTAGAGGAGTCTTTACTGGGAGATGAAGATGATGACTGAGATGCAGCCACCAGAACAGCTGCCCCAGTGTTGGTGGTTGGCATTGGAAGTTCCCTCTCCTCGTTACCAGGACGTCTGTTCCACCCAGGATCACTCATAGGTCTCCGAACTGATGACACTATATCTGAACTCCTGCTGCGGACTAGCCTTTCTGGGTAAGAATGCCTCTGCTTGAATGCTTCTAGATCAGTTGGAATTAAAGCGTGAGACCCAAAGTTTGGCAATCGGGCCTCATTACCTCCCATAGCTCCTTCCAAAATCGGTGGATCTGGTGGTGGGTGAGATGGTCTTGCATAGTGTACTTTAGGCCTTACTACAGCTGATACACCTGAGGTAATAAACATAAAAGAAGCCACATACATTTCTGTTAGTATCAGCTAATTTGGATGAATATTAACATAGAAGTATTGAATGGCAATTTTTATTAACAGAGTTTATTCTTTACCACTTACCCTCATTTGATGACAGAGGGTCAAACAATGCAAGCAAAGAATCTGTCTGAGAAGGAGGAGATGTCAACTGACTAGCTCCTGAAACACAGGTTAAAAAGAAGTTAGCATTGTTCAAAGAACCACCTACACATAAGGGACATTGAGAAAACAATCTTCAGTAACAGTTCACAGGACTTATATTCTAAAAAATTATTAAAGGTATTCTGATATGGAAAGATTCCCGTCTAATGTGCCAAAATGATCAAAGAGCTGCATCACAAAAATCGGGAAAATCTTGAGGAGACCAATTCCAAAGTGCAAGAAAACTATCAATGCAATCAAACAGAATTAGCAAAAGGCAATCTTAGATTGAAGGATGAAGCTCTAGTGCTATAAAATACTGGCATCTCTTTGCCAAACAAATACAGTGCTAGAAATAAAGAAAACACCAAACTTCTCAGCCACTAGATCTTTGAAATAGGGGAAAAAAACAGAAGAGAAGGAGTATTATTGCACTCTGAGCTTCTATAGTGCTCCTACTACACCATAAAAATTTGGGGATTCTCAATATCCATTATAAATACATCACTTTTACTAACATGGTGAGACCTCAGTTATCAGAGTTCTTACTTCTCATTTACAGGTATCTTACTTACCATGGGCTGTTTCATCCATGTCAGGACTTGTCACAGAATCTTTTCCCCCAAAGTCAGAGCTACATTCAGACCTGAGATCCTCAATCTTATTAGGAATATCTTCAGATGTTGCACTAATACCTTACATATAACAAAAGAAGCACCTTAAATACATTTCCAGACAAAAAGGAAGCAAAATCCCGAAGCTGTTAATATGTTTGGTCAACAATCCAATAATCAAGTCATAACTGACAGTAGCACATAAAAACATTCATAATTTCCATAATTGTAAAATAAGATTTTATGTTTCTGCTTTACGTATTCAATGGTTTTAACATACTCATGAATACTCTTTGAAAACGTACATTAGAAAGATGTTTCACTCTGCTAAACACGTTGTGGAAAACTAGAAACTCAAGTACATGTATGCTGATTTACTTAAAGTTATGATAACAAACTGAATACAAGAAAGTTAGGAGTTTCCTCTAAATCATTGCTCCACTACTAACCATTGCTACTGTTCCACGCAGTATTCTATGCATTGCTACTTTTTTTCTTTTTAATTTTGTAAGTTAAATAAAGAATTACAGCTTTGAAAATCCCAGAATGAGTACAAAAAGTTATACATAATTTTTTTCTTATGAAACTAAAGCAAACACAGCAGAGCAGATGCTGACTATGTTCTAATATACCAGTGTGTTTTCAGATGCAATTAAACACACCTGATACAACGCTGAGGCCTGGTGTACTGGGTCGAGAGCTGACCTCCCTTACATCCGTGTCATCAGACTGTGCTACCCAGCCCAGAACAGCTTTCCAGTTCTTGCAGTCTTTCTTCCTGTTTTAGGTCCGGGGCCTCTACAACAGGAGACAACACAGAGAAGAGAGAAAAAGCATCACTACTCAATGCCAGACTCCCTTAAAATTCATATACAAAAAGAAGACTGTGCGGCTTGATTTGGAATATTATTTTTTAAGCTAATTGAACCACTTCAGCGAGTCTTCTCCCTACACAGAAGGCAGGACTCTGCCCAGAAAGCAATGCCCTATTTGCACAGGCATTTTGACAAGTTCTTACCCATTTAAGTATTGTATTACTTTGAGACAGCGGTATACAGCCAAAACAACCAAAGTAAATTGTGATCAAATACAGCACTACTAAACATCACTATAAAAAAGAGCAAACAATTTTGCTTTGCATTGCCTTCTCTCCTCTTTCAGCCCTTAAAAATTTCTTAAGTAACAGTAAGTCTCTTACAATGCTTTTTATCTTCTCTCTGCCTAGGAATAATACATCCTTCTAGAAGTACTCACAAATATTAACCTAAGCTTACAACAGGAGTTTCTTGAGGAAGCATAGGAAGAGGCTGGTGCTTTGAATTATATGCCTCTGGTTCACACTAAAGTAATAAATACAAACTACATAATTCTGACCTGAGTCACTTGGTAATACTTCCACACTCCAGGCCTCACTTGTGGTTTCTGATATGGTCGAACCTGTGCAAGGATCAAGCAACACAGATCCTGAACCTGGTAAACACAGCAAGCTGCCTAGCATGTTCTCTGCAGCTGCACCTGCAAAAGTAAAGCAGAAATGTGTTAACTAGATACATACTTTCTGAAGATGAGTCTAACACAACATGTTCTTATTTTTCTCTTTTAAGTGTCCTTAATAAACTGATAACGAAAGACAATGTTATAAAGATAAAAATTGGCAACCAAACACAGTACGAGTCATGCACACAAAATCCTCCTACAGAGCAGCTCCACTTTAACCAATGAAAACACCTATTTAGAAAGAGAGGAGAAGGGTTCTGGAGCTTTACCATTTCACAGCAAGCATGAAGCATTTTAACATACCGGATGCACGACTGAGTTACCTGCAATTTCTTGCAAATGGTCTTCATCAATATTTGGATCAAAGTCGCTACCCAAGACATCTGTACTCCAAGTTTCGCTCACAGTTTCTGATATATCTCTGTCATCAGTCAACCCCATCATATCACGGATTTCAAATTTGCGGAGCTTGTCATCAAGATTATCCTGAGTTGTGGCTATATAAAAATAAAAAGTTCTGAATTTTTTGAAAGGCTTCTCTGATTACTTCTAATTGAAAATCTGTAAGAGCACATTAAAGGGGATTAAAAAACAAAACAAAACAAAAAAAATAATTCTGTCACATAAAATAGTGTTTAAAAGTAACGCCTGTAAAGCAGTATTATACAATTCAAGAGATGCTCCCTGAAAGCAATATTTAAGTACATCTGAGATGTAAGAAGAATCTTAAACAACACATGGTGACCTATCAACCCAACAGACAGATAAAGTAATGGATAAAACTTAACACATTATCAAGAAACTTATACAATTCCAATAAAAAGCTTAACACGGTATTGTTGAAGCTGGAAGGGACCTCCAGAGATCATTCAAGTCCAAACCCCCTGTTCAAAACATGGTCAATTACAGCAGGTTGCTCATGGTCATGTTTTGAAAATCTACAAGGTTGGAGGCTCAAAAACCTCTCTGGGCAACCTGTTCCAGTGTTTCATGTATGTATGTTAAACAGAAAGCTATTCAGCTGCTTTAAGACTACTCCAATCTAGACCACCTTATTCCCTTGAAGGAAAAGTAAGTATCAAGCAAAACTTTACAAGCAGTTTCCTACAAACTACTTATGTCTCAAAATTCCATGCAATTTTATTTTCAACCTTTGCTTTAGCATCTACAGCACCTCAGGCACTTGTTTCAGAGAATTTGCACCTGCCTTGTTCATGCTCTAACAGCTGCAGAGCTTCAACACCATTGCTCCCAGAGGGGCCCGCACCAAGCTCTGATACAGACTCTCCCTCTAAATCCAAAGATGACACAGAGTTGGAGCGATTCGAAGGACCTGTGAAAACACATTTTACCATAAATCTAATTTGAGTAACAGTTTCCAAATACACAGGATTAACAATCCTGGACACAATTAGCAACAATGATCAAGAGAAATTAAGTACAATACAAAATACTGAACTGATTAACAAAGTGTTTTGCTACTCTTGATCTCTACTCCATAGATCCTTAATCTGCACCATGATTTATACTTCACATGTATCAAGGACCATACTGACCATCATAACCTACAAAGAGATTACCAGAGATCTAGAATCTCACTATTACCATACTTCAACTAAGAGCCAATAAAGCCTTTGTCATTAATTTAATTATTGTTTATTTGAAAAGAAAGAGAGCAAGAACTACATTACAGAAGTTATAAAAAAATAAAGCACACTAAATAATTTGTACAGACCTCTTCGATACCACTGATAAACTTCTGCTTTGTTGTGTCTGAGGTTAACATAAAGGAGTTGTCCTGAGTCCAGAAACCATTCTGAGATATGTAATAGTTTATTAGAACATGATAGAAAAAAAAAGTCTGAGAACTCTAAGTTTAGAGGAAAGTTAGATTATTTTTAATAATTAGTTGTGCACTTAATTTAAAAAACAAACAAAAACCAACAACAAAAACACCCTTTTCTTCTTCTAAATACACTTACTGTTTTTGGTCATAATTCTCAGACTAAGTTATGCCTTTCCAGGTCAAAGTTCTGTTCCAGACTTTTTTCTTTGAATGGCTAACAGAAAAGACAAGCTCCTAGCTTGATCTTTAAAACAGTAGAGATGACATGCTATATTTAACAGAAGTTCCTTTTACAGAGAAGGGGAAAAAAAGTGACAAAACTTCTTCAAGACTTAAGTAACCCTTCACCTTCAGATATTCCTTCCAGATTATCACTGCAGAGGGAAAAGCGCAAGGTTTTATCAGGTTTACCATGGAGTTTGTTTTCATCAACAGGGACATCTCCTTGTCCGCCATCTGCAAGCTGCATGTTTAAGACCTAGAGAGTTGGGGGGAAACAAACAAGACGTCCTTAACATAATCTATTTTTCAGGTAATTACACAGTGAACAAAATATTGTACATGCTTTTTGCACTTACAATCAAGCTCCTAACATTCCATTTGAAAAAACACGTTTATCTCCAAAATTAGAACCTGGAGGGAATGTAAGGTAACCAAGACATGAACATAAGGCAAACCCTGGTAATAACAGGCCCACCAGCTCCTCCTTACTCCGTCAGCCTGATGTAATATGGAAACTGATGGTTACACAAGGCTGCAGAAGGAGATAATCCCAACTAGCAAGCAAAGCAGTGAAGATGAAAGCAGAATGCTGTTCTACGCCTGCTGAAAGAACAGGCTAGAAAACCAGCCTTAACCTAAGTGACATATTTTGAAGGCATTCATGGCAACATGACCACAGCTCCACCCTCACAAGAAGCTGGGCTCGTGTGATTCAACTCTGAGCTGCCAAAAACATCAGGATCAGCGTTCCTGTGCTGTTATTCACATACGTCACTTGATGCAGAGGACAAAGCACACAGGGAGGTAATAGAATTAATTTATTCAGGCTCAGAAGAAACAGCCCCAGTTTGTTAAGCATGTTAGATGACAAAGCCTCTTCATAAAACTGCCAGCTTCATTTTTCCTGCGTTAACATACTGTTTTTCACAACTCGCAGATATGCTAAGGGAGGAGAAAAAACTTCTAACGTGTGGAAATTTGAAAGCTAAAATACCCACGTTCAGTAACACAAACAAACAAGTGAAGATTTTAATCAGTGTTTTGAACATATTATCTGAATTTAAGCATCACAACTTCATTGTTCTACTATTAAAGAACACAGAAGCTGTATTTTACAAAATATCTAAGCTGTAATAGATTTTGCATACCTCATTTTCTGACATCATTCCTGGAGTAATCTGTGGACCTGTTCCCAAAGAAATCACCAGCACTTCTTCCGGCTGAACTTCTGGGATAGTCTCCTGCGAGGATCCTTCGTGATCTCCATGCTGATCCATTAGAATATTTGATCTACTTCTGCTACGAGTTGCTAAGAAAGTGTTTTGAAATATCAACATTAGAAAGCTGTTCCTTGTTTAGGGAGAAAAAGACAATGCAATGGAAATACAGAACTGCAAAGTTTTGAATTAATAACATGCATACTCATACATTTATAAAATGCCAAGTCTTAATAGAATTTGAGAGATGGAACCAGTGTTTAACATTGAGTACTGAACTGTGAAAAAGGACACAACATAAAAATTGAGAGAAACATCCTGTTTGTTTGTCACATCCTGTTTGCCTGCACAATTTTTACACCAAAGATTAGCACAAATTTCAGTAACTTTAAAGGGTCCAGAGTTTTGGCACGTGAAATCAAAAATGCAACCAAGTAGTAACAGTGAATTTCATGTGGTGGTAGCTGCAGAGGAACTCCCCAGCTATATACACTTGGAAGTGGGAATATGATGTCTGCATTCATTTTGTAAAAAAGTCTACTCCATCCATATAATTCAAAGGAATCGAGGAAGATACTTATGTTTTAAATATTTTAAGAACCACATGCTATTTCTTCCCTCTTTAACTAGTAGTCATACATGCCCACACAACCTAGAAAAAACATCTGTCCTTAGAAGAGACTGCCACTGATCTAGTAGATAGGAAAAGTTTAAAAAGCACCCAAAAAGAAACAAAAAGATCTCTTGAAAAATAGATTCTGCATTTGTAGAATTGTGTGTTCCAATCACAGGAAGACCCTTAATAAATAAGTTGAGAACATTCTGTTAGGCATTGGAATGGGCTTCCCAGGGAAGCGGTTGAGTCACCATCCCTGGAGGTCTTTAAAAGACGTTTAGATGTAGAGCTTAGTGATACGGTTTAGTGGAGGACTGGTTAGTGTTAGGTCAGAGGTTGGACTAGGTGATCTAGGAGGTCTCTTCCAACCTAGACGATTCTGTGATTCTGTGTGATTAGGAAGGCTTTTACCTACAAAAAAGGTCTAGGTTCCTGTGGCTTAAAAATGATGTTTAATTAATTTGCATTTTAAGAGGAAAAACTTCTAAGTAGAGAAAATTTATTCTAGCAGGTGTCTCAAATGCAGATCCACAAAATCAACATCAGGTATTTTATTCGGATTATTTGGTGACTCTTTATTAGTCCTTTCAAGTAGCCTTATTTTCATGTTTGAC